GGCGCGATGTCCTGAATGCGGCGCGCTTCCAGTAGCTCTGATAAAGACGAACCTGCTCACATCCGCGTGACATGCAAACGATTTCAGTCGCTCTCCAAGAATGAAGTGGTAGAGGGCGCGCAACAACCCCCGACTTCCCCTATCGCAAATAAAACTCTTAGACAAATTCTCCATAAAATCATGTGTCAGATTAAATAGAAATGGTAGGAAAGTAAATACTAAAGGGAAAGTAATATACTAAAAGTGGAAGCAGGTCATAAAAGCCCCCCCAAAAAATCATGGTATAATGCATCCTTTCGTGAGATTAAGGTTGAACTGCAATATTAAACAACAAAAATGACTAAAAAAAAATAAAACATTTCATTTGAAAAATTAAAAACAAAAAAAACTTTACAAAACGGCTCCGGATTGATTGCTAAGAATGATTTTTGTTTTTCACGTGAAAGGGTAATACTCTATAAATATAGGACAAGATAAGATAACGGCCGAATCTGGCCCCGAACACTGGTAAAATTGTGATAGTTGAAGTTAAGAAGTTAAAATAAATTCTGGTGGAATTTCATCATATTTTAGATACTTTTCTCTTCGGAAAACATAGAGCACAAGCTTGCCTATCTGAGATTTTTACACATAAACTGCATCTGATACTAGTGTGTAGAATATATAAATTTGGTAGATAGGCAAGCTTGTGCTCTATTTTTTCTGAAACAAAATGTGCAGTAAAATCGATGAAGATTTGTTTAAAAATGAGAAAATTCGAAAATTGACCTATTTCCTCACCTCTCCTTGACCTCTGTATATTCTAAATCTTAGAAACAATACTAATTTTGTGGCAGGGGTGGCAACAGGTTTTTATGGATAAACCTTGGATCATTCTGAAAGACACCCAAAATCGGGGGCCAAATACTGGCTTAACCCTTTCTTGTCCTTTTCTGTCTTTCATACTTGTCTGTCTTATATCATAAATATTTTTTTTTTGTGATAGTGATGGAATTTTTATGGCCTTATTTATCTGTGATAATAAAAAAAAAATAAGTTCAAAATTACAAAGTCTAGCTTTTTTTAAAAACTTGTTATGTTGATATTGTAGCCCGGAAATGTTTTGCATGATAGCAAGAAATATGATTTTTTTTTTTAGACGAATAGACCTTCGCATTTCCATCGCCATCATTTAAACACCCAACAGAAAGATGATTTTTTACGGGTGAATAAATCTTCATATACCCCTCACTTTCATGCAATAAATATTTAACACACTGTCACACATCAAATTATTTCAGAGTTTTCAAGACCTCCAAAGGAGATGTTATCGATACGCGTGCAACGCAATTTTGGTGTATCTTCAATATGACCATACCATTAACCTGGTACTTCGGGTCTCATCAGCTTTGCAGATGGCGTTAATTGTAAAAGAAGAAATTAACATGAAAGAAAATAAAGTACCAATTTTAATTTATTTTGTATTAATTTGGCCGATTTCAAAAATTTGAAAGATACAGAATCATAACCGTGAATAATATCCAATTTTAGCAAAATAAATGGATGATTCATTCACACAACGATATATCCCCGGGCAACTCCTCTTATACAAAAGCTATTTTATACCATTACACGTCAGTGAAACAAAAAATACACTGATATCACAATTGAGTCTAAAATGGTTTTCCAATAATTTAACGTTCCCACAATTACAGTTGACCACCAAATGAAACTGAATTCCGAGCTTAAAGTACATGAAGTTGCTGCATCATTCGTTTTAACAGACAGCAGCTTAATTCCCCTAATCTGGATAATCCGCGACATGATAATCAATAATGTATATAGCACTAATGATCTCTAGACCTGTATCAATCCTAATGTCATCACTACACATCAAGGTCGTGTTATCAAAGTAGAAACGTTTCTTTGTAATCTATAGCGTCACCAGGGGGACGCTTCAGACAGCGGTAGTCCACAGGCTAGGGTTCAGACAGCGGTAGTCCACAGGCTAGGGGTATGGGGAGGGAGGGGCTGTTGGGCCATTTTCCCCAAACGTAACTTTTTAAAAGTTTTGATAGGGTTTATTGAAATACAACTTTTATAAACCATGCATACTACGTCCTGGTTCATTCTGAAAACTTTTCCATTTCAATAAATTCTGGTAAATGGCTTAAATGGGACAGGGGAACAAAAACAAAACATTTGCTAAAATAACCTACCAAGTGTCAGTTCCGATTAGTCCCCGCTGCAAAGTAATAGCCATGACACTGTGACCATTTGCCAGTGACCTTGAACTTGCTGAAATGACCTTAGGTCATTGCCAATATACAACTACTTTACATGGTCAGGACAGAATAAAACATTTTTCTAGGTGACTCTCAGGTTGTAAGCAATTTTTTGTATAAAGTACATATATAAATTTCCAATGCTTTTTATTGAAGTTTCGGGGGTATGTAGTTTTTGCCATGTCCGTCCGCCTGTTTGTCCAGAAAAACTTTAATCTTGCCCATAACTTTTGACTGGATGGGAGTATGGCTTTCATATTTCACATGTGTGTTCCTTGTGACTAGACCTATCTTTGGGTACCAACAAAATTTACCTCTTGACCTTGACCTTGTAGTTTGACACACTTTTACACCAAAATTCAAAACGTTTACTTTGGCCATAACTTTTGAACGTTGGTGCCAGGACTGTACATACTTCACATATGTATTCTTTGTGACAAGAACTTCAATTGGATACCAAAAACTTTGACCTGTTGAATTTGACCTTGGAGAATGACCTACTTTAAAAGAAACTTTAACCTTTGCCAATACGTTAGATGGGTAAGGGCTAGGGCTTTCATACTTCACATATGTACTCCTTGTGACAAGACCTTTCATTGGATACAAAACTTTAACCTTGGCAATCACTTTTGAAAGGTTGGTGCTAGGACTTTCAGACTTCACACATGTATTCTTTGTGACAAGACCCTCCATTGGATATCAACAAGTTTGACCTTTTGACCTCGACCTTGGAGATTGACCTAATTTTATAAAACTTTAAACTTGTCCATAACTTTTAAACGGTAAGGGATAGTGTTTTCATTCTTTACATTTGTAATCCTTGTGTCAAATCCTTTCATTGGATACAAACATTGACCCTTTGACCTTGGAGTTTGATCTACTTATTAAATCTCTAACCTTGGCAATAACTTTTGAACGGTTAGGGCAAGAGCTTTTATACTTCCCATATGTATTCTTTGTGAAAAGGCCTTTCTTTAGAAACCTGACCCTTTGACCTTGAGTCCGGAGTTTGACCTATATTTAAAAAACGTTAATCTTGGCCATAACTTTTGAACAGGCAGTGCTAGGGTTTTAAATTACACATACATGTATGTATTTCTTGTGAGAATGCTTTACTTTGGGTATCAACGTGTTTGATTTGCATTGGAGAAAATTTAACCTTCGCTATGTTGCCATATATACGGGGGCATCAGTGTTTCACAAACGCATCTTGTTTCCTAATAAATTGTAGAACGGCCAAAAATATACGTATACGTTTGTCTGCAAGTGACCTTGAAGTTGTCGGAATGTTTCGTTAAGGTCAAGTTATACCCTCAATTCATAATATTCTTTGTACCAAGTATTAACTTCCGATGTTTAATTATTACAAACTTGTGGTCTGGACAAGATTGCACGGACAGACAGAACACTGAATACATGTATAAATTTCATAACTGACTTATCCAAAGTACTGAATTACTAACATTCGTCTGAGAAATCTACGCAGTGAAGTTGAATTATTATTTATTAAAGTACAAACAAATGGCATTGAAAGGTTTTGGTTTCTCCCAGCTTATGGGTAGAAGTCTGTCTCTAGAACTCTTATTACATGTATTTAATATTCCAGGGCAGCATTTGTGCACTTCCTTTTCTGCATAACATCATTTGTAACGCGGAAAATGCTTTCCTTGAAAAGAAACTATTAATACTATCTGTTCAATTAGTTGTGTTTCTGCTTGGTATCGCCACTGGCGTAACGAGTGGTGCTTGTATGCTGTGTACGGTACCACTGAGGGACGGGTCGTCTTACGGAATCACAAGTTGACTATTACTCACTACCTGTAAAAGTACAATGTCTGGGAATCGAGAAGAACAAAAATCCAATAAAATTCTTCACTGATCACTGAGGCGTTTCGTCACTAATTAACGACTGTCTATTAAAAGTGCCTCAATTCCAGATCAATCTCGGATTCCCGGCATCCGTCCGATTTGGCGAACCGGGCCGGGTGTTCTAAAGGTATGCCGCGTTACATATCGATCATTCACTTTCGGGCCGTGTTCGCGCTGTCGATTACTTCCGGAAAATTCCGATCGAACGTTAAATGTACATATTTGCAGTATCATAACTACGTTGATGATTTCCGGTGGCAATCAGGGAGAATGCATTGTTATACACCGTCGTATTCTTTTAGCATCGGAAATCACCAAAGCGATCATATCTGTCATTTCATGCAACAAAAGTCCACATTTAATATGACATCATATTTGGCTCGTGGTTATAGAATTCAAAGACTATCAAAACAAAAACTCGCACTTATTATGCAGAAAAACTCGATACGTCAGTGTCATAACGTAAATAGAATATCGATACATCGAGCAGCGGCATATTTGTATTTGAATTGGTCCACTTAAAAATATGACAGATCAAAAAGTCAGTGATAGGTTACCCGACGTTCATCTGTCGAATAGATTACAATGGACTTCCACTTTCACAGCGTATTGTCTTGACGTATTTACAGTGGAATTGGTTGGATACGGAAATTTTCTTCGATTTAACGCCGCGATTTTGGCACCGCGCTGGGATGTTAGCCTGGTTTAAGTGTGAAAGTATTTGACGAATAGCAGGACACGCCAAATACAGTGATGTCACCAGCAGATAACAACAGCTAAGCAGGATCGTACAGTATTACTCCAAGAAGAGGGATTAGTTATTCAGACGTATAAGGAAACAAGAACACAAACGTATTAGACCGTCAATAAAGTTTCTAAAATATTATTCTCCATAAAAAAGCAAATTTTTTGCTCAATATCTTAAATATCATAAACAGATAAAATATTAAACTGGAGTTTGCAACTTTAGATATGACAGCTGATCACCACGAATCTTCCGCTCCTTCTAATTTTCGTTTTATGTTTGCGTTCACGTTGTGTAGAGTTTGGCCCCTTCTTACCGCTGTCTACAATAACAACAAAAAGAAAACAAAAAAGATATTTTTATTCAGATATATTTACATCCACTGAATATTTACTCCTTTACTTCTTAAGAAAACCCATTGCGTTAATCAGGGCATGAACAGTTACTTCACTAGGCATGTCCCTGTACAGATTTCTTGATTAGTGGCAGTTCCATCAATGAAACGTACAAACACGTTCGCATCATTAATACATTAATTAATCTTTTTTAATCCTACTTTAAATGATTAATTAAACAGATATAAATATAAACAATAAAATTTCTGTCTTTGGTTGTTAGTACGGGATGACTGTCGCAGCTATTGCAGAAAAAAAAAATTACATAGCCCGGGTTATGTATTTTTTCTGCAACAGCTGCGATATTCATTCCCGTACTAACAACCAAAGAAAGCATTTTATTTTTGTTTAAGTTACCAGTATAAAGTAACGGTATGGCGTTGCGCACATTTTTTTTTAGAATGTCAATACATGTAAACACAAGTCCTAACTATTTTCATGCCCCTGTAATCGAGGATTCGGGCGCATATTGGTTTTGCACTTTCTGTCCTAGTGTCTGTATGTCTGCTTGTTCGCAAAAAATTAACCTTGCCTATAACTTTTAATTGGTTGAAGCTATGGCTTTCATATTTCACATGTGTATTCCTTGTGAAAAGACCTTTCTTTGTGTACCAACATATTTGACCTTTTGACCAAGGATTTTGACTCACATTTGTAAAATTACCAAATTTTAACCTTGTTTTCTTCATATGAACTATTCAAGAAAAAGTGTCAAATTTTTCGGAGCGAGTGTCTTATCGGTTGTTGTGATCCATGCAATCGCCTTGATCAAGAAAGTAATAATAATAATTTAATACATTTTAATTCTTTTTTAAAGGAGAAAAAAGGCCCCATCATAAAATGTATTCTCTTTTATTGACTTTTTTTTCTCAAATTATCGTATTACAACCTTTTCTATCGTAAAATTTACCAACAGGAGAAAAAAAAAACGCTGCATGTAACTTGCAAAGGGAATGAGATTTAAATTTTGAAAATTTATACAAAAATTCAATTATTCAGTATAATTTGTCTAAATTATACATTCAATCAAATGAATTTGTGTATGTTCATGCTGCAAAATTTCAGAGGAAGTCGACAACAGACAAGTTCAAATACATACGCATTCGGGGCAACAAATACCAAGATACATTAAAATTTTAAACTAAGATTTTGATCGAGTAACCGGTTTTATTTGACTCTTTGTTTCTTTAAAGTCCGTTCAAGGAACATTTAAACTTGTATTATTTGCTTGCATATATCATATCATATTCACGCAGAGCAGTTGCTCGTCATTACGCCATGTTAAATTTTATCTGAGTAAAATTTATTTTCTTATAATTTAATCTTGGTTGTAACGCGTCAATTGATTAGATAACAAATTAATCTATATTGCATAACCTGGTTTGCCTATGTCACAATGACTTACATCAAAACGTACTAATCTGCTTGAGGTTAGTTAAAATATAAACAATTTGAAGGGGGTTTTAAAAGGGAAAAATTGTCTTGTTTTCTATACTTAATGATTGAAAATTAAATTATAAGGAATGAATTAAATAGCAACCCAAGTTATACTGGTAAAACCTGGGTTGGAGCAGTTAACGCTATTTTATAAATCGCTTTGCGGTTTATAAAGCATAAACTGTTCTTTAATTCATTCCTTAAATATATTTGCAAACAAAGTCATTAAGACAATCAAAGCTTATGAAAAATATTGGCTTTAAAAAGAAAGTTGAAAACATGTGACATCAAATTATTTGTCATTAGCCTGTCTCAATTTAAATATTTCGAACATGCTCTTGAGTACCCAATATCAGCATAAACATCATTGGAAAGGAATTGTGAAATATTACTTTGAATTTACCTTCCACATGTATTTTCATTATAATATCTAAGGAAAGTTACAGCATTCAAAACATCCTATCACTTACAGGGGGTTAAAAATTAAAGTATGCTTTTTATTTTGAAGCCACAACCATTGAAAGCTGTAGTGCTATGACATGAACAAAAATCAAAATTAATGCTCACAATGAGCAGAAGCTGTTGCAATAGCACTTCATTTACCATAATAGTATCTTACCAGGATAATACAGGGATTTAGGAAGATAAATTACGTTTATGCTGAGGACTAGGAGTTACGGAATGTATATGTAAGTACTAAAACATTAGTTTTTTGAAGATATAGTCTCAATTTGTTTGCACACACCCTTGCTGAGACTATATGTTATAAAAAAAGAATTAAAGATTCAATGTTTGATTATGAAGTTTTTTTTAAGAGAGAGAGAAAGACTCAGTTTAATCCAATTCCAATATCGAAATAAGTTGTAAATGGATTGCTTAAATTTTCATCCAAACAAAATGTTACAGAAATCACATTTACATTGTACATGTATATATAACTATATAACTGATTAAGGTATCAGGGCTGCAATAAATCACACAAAAAGCTAATACATTACATAATTCTATCAAAAATAAATATCAGTCAGAATTTGGTTTATGTAGGAAGACATTTTACGTACAGTCAACATTTAAATTTTAGATTATCTAGAAAAAGAGACGAGTGTCAGTTTTCTTACAACACAGCACAGAGTATATCAGTTAAAGATCATGTTGCCAAGTACAGGCTTCCAACTGTAATCATTCTGTTAATATTATATGAACTGGTCCTAAAGTATCAAAGTAGTTTATCTGAATATAATGATTGCTTTCATCAATATTCAGAAATAATTAATAAGTGATCATCAATGCATCTAATGATTTGATTTTTTTCTCTGTGCACATTAAATGTTTATGTGTACTAAGGTCTCGAAACACCAACAAAATATGTTACACATATCAGTTCATTCCCTGGTGAGTGAGTCCCTGCCATATTCATTGCCTATTAATTTTGAGAAACTATTATGGAATAGGTATACATGTAAGTTTTTAATACTTAATATTGAAATTTAACATGAATAAGATGAATATCCCAGCAAAAGGTTAAATAAAACTTTTTCTTCTAAACTTAAATATCTTTTCTCTAAATATGTGACTCTCTCACAAATATTGTGGCATCTGTTTAATTTCGCAACTTCACTTGTGATCTCGATATACCCGGTAATTTGGTAAAAAGTGGGAAAATGTAACTTAACAGTTCAGTTAAACTTTTATTAAGTTTCAGAATTGTATGGATTTTTGTTACTGTAAACTTTTTGGAACATTTTAATAGACTATTTTTTTCATTTTACATGATTAAAATTTTAAAAGTATATATCATCCATTGAAAAAATATTGAAAAACAGCAAATAAACTTTCCTGTATTGAAGACTAGAAAGTCTGTTTATGGTATTCATCTCTACCAAAATGAATACAACATCAAAAATCAATTAAACAAAAGGCTCGTGGGCCTTATAGGTCACCTGAGCATCACGCAACAACTTTCAACCGATTGAATTTGGTTCATGTTTTAAACCATGGCATTAACAATTTTGAAAGAGGCACCATTGCTCATCAAAAGTTAACACTTGGCAATGGCTTAGTTTGGTTACTTACTACCCATAGGCAGAGTTGGGGAACAAAAAATGCATTTCAACTAATCATTAACATTCAGCATATAATCAGTAGTGCCCCTACCACACATGAACCCCTGACCGTAAGTCCACACATTTCACAATTTTGCACCCTTGCTAATCAAAAATGTTTGATTAATACCAAGGAGCAAATTTCTAACAACTAATTCATGTTCAGAATGTAAGTAGAGCCCCCCTCCCTCTATGGTACCCCTGACCCAGGGGCCTTAAAATCACAATTCTGGAAGAAGGGCCCTTGCTCATCATAACTATATAGGCAGTTCATCATCTTAATATCCAGAAGCAGAGAAGAAGATTTTCAAAGAATTAATGGATTTTCACCAATTCATCAATAGAGCCCTGCCCTAACACCAGAAACCCCGGCCCTGGGGTAATAAAATTCACAATTTTGGAAGAGGCATTCTTACTCATCATAATTATGTACTTACTTAGTTTATTTAATACCCAGGAGCAGAGAAGAAGGTTTTCAAATAATTAATGTATTTTCACTATATAAATTATAATCAATGGAGCCCCGCCCTAACACCTGAACCCCTCACCCTGGGGCCATAAAATTCAAAATTTTGGAAGAGGCCATGGAAATTTAAAACTGAAGAGGCATTCTTGCTAATTATGACTGATTTTCAAAGATTTAATGTATTTTTACTACATAATCAATAGAGCCCTGCTCTAACACCAGAACCCCTAACCCCTGACCATGGGACCATAAAATTCACAATTCACAATTCTGGAAGAGGCATTCTAGCTCATTATAACTATGTACTTAGTTAGTTTATTTAAAACCTAGGAGCAGAGAAGAAGATTTTCAAAGAAATAATGCATTTTCACCATATAATCTATATAGCCCTGCCCTAGCACTAGAACCCTTGACCCTGGGGCCATGAATTTCATAATTTTGGTAGAGGACTCAATGCTCATTACATTCATGCCAACAGTCTGACTGCTTGATGTCCAGGAGTAAAGAAGATTTTTAAAGATTAAATTAATTTTAGTGGTTTTGGTCCCATCCCTCAGGCCCCAGGGGGTAGGGACTGTGAAATTTACAAATTTTGTTCCCCTTCACCCATAGATGCCATATCCTAAAATTAGCTGAAATTGGTTCAGTGGTTTCAGGGAAGAAGCTAAAAATGTTCAAATGTTAACAGAAGATGCACGAAGACGGACGAAAACGGATAGCAATAGGTCACCTGAGTGACTCAGGCGACCTAAAAAATCAATACCAAAAATGACTGGTCCCCATGTCCCGCAAAGGATTTGAATCTATGACATAAGGATCACTTCATTTCTGCTTAACTCTAGAGCAGATGCTTTAACCACTGTGCCAAATGCCAAATTAGTGACTACTTAACAAGACAAAAATATATACATAATAACTAGCCCAGCAATGAATGACATTTACCTCTATTTTCCAGAGCAGATCCACATCCCACTTTTCAGAGATGAAGCTGGTAACTGTTCCGTGACCTTGTGACCCAATTCTACCAACCCGCCCACTGCGATGAATGTAGTCCGATACAAAGTCAGGGAAATCATAGTTTACTACATGCCTGGTCTGTCAAGAACAAAATGTAAATTACCATGGTTAAAAAGGTTGATGTTTGAATGAATTAATTTCTCCACAAAAAAAAAATCAAAAGACATGAAAAAATCAACAAGAGGCCCAGGGGTCACATCGCTCACCTCAGCACATCCACTAGGAAAACGCACAAATCGGATCAGAATTGAAAAGTTTACTGAGGGGGGGGGGGGGCTTGAATTCTAATACTACTTGAGAATGCCTCCATATCAATTCTGCATATAACTTCTTGAGAAAAAGATTTTTATAGATTTTTTTTTAAACATGTTGTTTGGATCTATTACTTTGTAATAATTTAAATTCGACTCCCCATTGTTTCCCTCCCTACTCCAAAGGGTACTCATGATTTGAACAAATTTAAATCTTCAATACATGAGGATGCTTACATGTCAATATGACTTAACATAGCTTTTCTGTTATTGAGATTTTTCCCTTCATTTTCCTATGTTAAACTTTGATCCACCATTGAGACCCTTCTCTACCCTTGGAGACTATGATTTGAACAAATTTAATTCTACACTACCTGAGAATGTGTCCATATAAATATCACTATTCATGACTTTGCTATTCTTTAGAAAAAGATTTTTTTAAATAAATTGTGTCCCCACCCTGGCCCTGATGGGTTATGAGTTGAACAAACTAGAATCTACAGTATCTGAGGATCCTTCCATATAAGTTTCACTAATCATGGCTTTGCAGTACTTGAGAAGACAATTTTTAAAGATTTCACTATAGATATTCCTATGTTAAACTTTGATCGGCCATTGTGGCCCAACCCTACCTTCGGCGGCCATGATTTGAACAAACATGAGTTTCATCTTTCCTGTCCCAATGGTTCTTGAGAAGATTTTTAAAGATTTTCCCTATATATTCCTATGTAAAACTTTGATAGGTCATTGTGGCCCCACCCTACCCCCAGGGGTCATGATTTGAACAAACTTGAATGTGCACTACCTGAGGATGACTCAACATGAGTTTAATCTTTCCTGTCCCTATGGATCTTGAGAAGAAATATTTTAAAGATTTCTCCTATATATTCTTATGTAAAAATTTGATTGGCCAATGTGGCCCAACCCTACCCCTGGGGTCATGATTTGAAAAAATTTGAATGTACACTACCTGAGGATGACTCAACATGAGTTTCATCTTTCCTGTCCCAATGGTTCTTGAGAAGAAGATTTTAAAAGATTTTTCCTATATATTCCTATGTAAAACTTTGATTAGCTATTTTGGCCCCACCATTGTCACGGGGATCATGATTTGAACAAACTCTGTTAGACTAGGTCTGCATGCTTTCAATTTTGGACTTTGAAATAACAAGATTTAGAATAGCAATCCAGAAGATTTAGACTACAATGTCAGCATCAACTACCAGTATATATTGTTCTCTGAGCTCACCTTTTCAGTAAAACTTACCCTAATAGTGTCCAGACCTCTAGATGCCACATCAGTACACACAATTATATCAGACATCTCTCTCTGAAACTCTTCAAACTTTCCTTCTCTGTACTATGAGAGAAAACATATAATATTTAAGAACACATCTTCTATTTTAAGATTTTTTGTTACTCACAATACCGTATATCAGGTTTTTTCCGCGTGTATCCAATTTCCGCTTTGTTCGCGACGAGTTCTGAATCGCGGAAAATAAAACAGCGTAAATTTAATACAAAGTTATTTTCTTGTAGAAGAGTTATTTCTCCATGCTTATATCATAGAGGGTAGAAAATAGCGGGATCAATCAAAGGACAAGCGCAAGATAACCGGTAATAGGTATATGCCCTATTTTTGTTTACTAATTGGCAAGCTAATTATATATTGTTTACGTTCCTTGTGAGAACCTATTCCAATTACCTGAGCTGCTAGTGCAGTTTGGAACAGTAAATGACCTATAATTGTTTAACACAGGTGTGTAATCAGCTGAGCGGGTCTTCTGAAATTGACGAGGTGAAGGTCAATCGATTTATTTCTCAACAGTATGAAGTAACATAAGCTAAATGACTTACATTTTACATCAAATTCCTTTAGAGGCTTAAAAAATGTTAATACTATAATTACTGGGACTTTAAAATAGTGAAAATTTAATTCGTGTAAATTTAATATGCTGATTTAGGTTCTGGATCGCGGAAAAAACATGACGCGGAAAAAACATGATATACGGTATTACATTATTCTATATACATGACTTCTTCTACAGCTTTGAATTGTACATTCCTTCAGAGAGGGTCCTACTAAGGATTTTTGGTGGATTTCTCTCACTGTAAAGTTAATAAACATGTATTACAAAATTTGAGAAAAAACTTGTGAAAATTGTCTGGCCTTACAATTAAGTGTTGACAGACACATGGAAGGACAGACCTCAAGGTGCCCTCCTCTTATAGTCAACACGTCACGTTGTGTATAAAATTTGAAGTTGTTTTGATAAATACTGATTGAATTATTGTTTCACAATGGACAAGCATTCAGTCATATATACAGACAGGTAGGCAAAGTGTTGTGGCCTTTAAATCAAATTACGAAAGCATTATGCTTATACATGTGCAATGAAATATGAGAACAGACAGAAACACAGTGACATGAACCTAAAATCTGTAGTTTTATTGCACTTTTAGTAGAGTACTTGCATGGACAAAAATTTGAAAATGTTTATAGAAACTGATTGAGTAGGCCTTTCAACTAATTTTTCAAGTTCTACATATGGTAAAAACCATTTGATACAGAGATCTGTAGATACGTGAAATTCTCAATAAAGATTTTAAACTATACAAACTTTTAATTAAATCATTTAAAAAAATATTATACATATTTGATTTGTACGATGTTGTGTTTTAATGACAGATAACTCAAGAGTAACAAAAAACTAATAAAGTGCAGATTTATGAGTTATCCTTTATAGGAATGACACATAGGCTGCTTCCTTTGTTATTGTTATGTACACAAAAGTTTCCTTATATTCTTTGGATACAAAAGGGTTGATCAAAACAAGGGGAATGCTTTCACTCTACCTTAAATAATGGAATCAAATGAATGGGAAACAAACTATATTCAAGATTTTGAACTCCCTCTGACAGTTGTTATGATCAAGAAAATTTAATGCCTTGTATTTTATGTGTGCATTGTTGTGTTTCATCTATAAAGATAGATATTTCTTCAATTGAATGCACCAATTAATCATCTTATTCTTTTTACTAAGCACGAAGAATGATCAAATAGAAAAAATTAATCAGGTCAAAATTAAGGAGGGGGGTAGATTTCACTTTATATTTTTATTAAAAATTTCATTTATTTGTTATTGTGCAATGTCAGTAACCACATGAATAAGTAAAAAGTTTATGCTAAATTTTAAAACCATCTTCATTGAACCCTAGCGGCAGTTGAAAGGCCTAGAATGAGTTATCACACCACAACAAAGTGTTGACTGACGGATTGAGGGACAGACAGACAATGTGACTCCAATGCATGCAATGATTTGACACAGCTTTTATGTGGGAAAAAAAATTCCTGCTTTCCCATGACAAGCTATACTGCTTTTCCTCAATTAAATTTTGCTTTTCCACAACTTCTTTTCCATATCTCCTGCATTAGCCAGGTAAAAGTTGTTGCCCCTGCGTACCAGAGGGAGGTGAAGTCTGATGTCAAGCAAAATAAGTCTTGTAAAACACTAAATAAGAACATTGATTTAAAACCATAAGCGCTGAATAAAACAAAGTTTGCAAACAAGCACTGTTTTAGATTTTTAAAAATTGACAGACACATTCACATATGGTGCAAAATCCACATAATCGAAGCATAAAAGTAAAAACCAGTCATGGAAAGCAGTATGGAGAAGATGCAAAAAAGCAGACAGGTTGTGAAATAAAAATTATGGAAAAGCAGGTCAGCCAATTCTTGCATTTTCTTGCATGGTCTAATAAAACAGTTGAAATAAAATATATTCAAAAGCAACAAATACCTGTGTTTTTATCTCTCCGTTTAATATTATACTTGGGATATTGTTTTCCTCCAGGAATTTCATGACAAAGTAACTGGTCTTACTGTGATTACAGAAGATCATAGAAGGAACCTTATTTTCCAGGTTATATCTAGCTATCTTCAGAATTTCACCTGCAACAGAATGAGAATCAAATTAACAAGTGAGCACGTAACGTGATGGACTGCCAAATCACTTCAATATACATGCAATTGCTAAACTAATTTGATGCAGTTAAAAAAAAATTCTGTATTATCAGAAGAACAATGTATATTAGCATATGTTATGTTGATACAAAACCTTTTTAAAACTTACTAGAATATTGCTAGATAACCAGGAGTAGAAAAAATATTTTGTTAAATTCAAAGGCTTTAGCCCCATCCATAGGTCCCAAGGAATTTGGACCCTGAAATTCCAAAACTTTTTTTTTTGGGGGGGGGGGGGTACCTAAAATTACTTTATACAAAACCTGTTTGATGTTAGTTCAGACATTTAAAACTTAAAACTGAAAATGTTGAAAATGAAGCTTGTGTCAATTATGACCTTCCATGGATGACTCACAAAAATTATTACAGTGTAAAAGCAAAATGTGAGTAAGATGATCTGCATATCCCTAAAGCATTTTGCTAACTTTAAAATTTACTGGGTGGAGGTAAATGTAAATTTTCTAACATCATACAAAGCCACAAAAATGGTTACATGTATTATTGTACTACATGTGCAAGCATATGAATGAGAAAATTTCATTATCACACAGTACAATATATAGCATGGATATAAATACATTGTGTAGAGGGAAGAGTTACCAGGTTTATCAGATTTCCTCAGCCTTATAAATGTTTGTGTAATGTGTGGAAGAAGGGAATGAAGACATCTGGATGTAACTTTCGCAATACTATCAATCTGAAAACATATTTGATTGAAAAACTTAAACAATACACCTTCATGACATTATATAGAGCTTTCTAGAGATAAATTGCTTTAATTCATGTGTGAAAATATTAACATATGTAACATCTCACCGATATCATTGAGCCTATGTTATTTTGTAGGTCCCTGGGCATAGTGGCACTGACTAAGTTGATCTGGATGCCAGAGGACCCCTGGTTCTGAATGGCTTTTCCTCCATGTACCTATAAGTATCAATATGTACAGATCACAGCATTAAATCATCATAATAAAACATATATACTGTAAATGTATTACATTTGGCAATGCATTCTATTTAGCACTTTAAAGTCAATGTACCATTTGAAAAATAATATTTCTGTATCACTTTACATATTAAAACAAAATCAAGATTGGGAAATCAATCTTACATGTAATTTTGTGAAAATAAATCTGATATCATGGAAAAAGCTATCATCCAATAGAGTGTCAGCTTCATCCAACACAACATGCTGCAGCTGGGAAGGTCTAACTTTACCTGAAACGAGAAAGAAACGTTCAAATCTCTGAAGTTACCTGACATAAGATGCTCCTTAAATATAAGATTACAAGCATAGAACAAGTGAAATCTGTATATCAGGTCATCTCAGCATATGTATTGGTCACAGATACTTGTGGACAGGACCCCCCACCCCAACCCCCACCCCACCTTGTTGGACATTTCTTTCACAAATTATATTTATTTCACTTATTCATTATGTGTACAGTAGGAAAAAATTGATCATGAAAACCCCAAAATAATTGCTCCACAAAAAATAACCCTCCATACTTTATAAGAAAGACTTTCTCTCAGTCCACAAGTACCTTTGGTATCGGGATGTAAAAAAATTTCCACAATGAATGGAATTTCTATAACTTTAGACAATTATGATTTAATTAAAAAATGGACGGGCATAGTAATAATCTGGCAGATTTTCATTGGCAATTCTTGGAATTTGTCTTACCTAAAGTCAGAAACATCTTAAGAGCTCCAGGGGTTGATATAAGTACATCAATGGGCTCACGTCTTGTGTATTTTGCTTTAGCCTACAAATATTTGTTAAAAAATAGTCATGAAAAATTGATTCATAACTAAATATGATGTGTTAATGAAAATTTGATACCCCCTAAAGGTCCAGATCAGGAGATCAAAAGGGTTTGTACCCAAAGAAAGGTCTTGTCACAAATAACACTTTTTTTTAAAATGTGAAAGCACTAGCACAAACCCATCAAAAGTTAAAGGCATCATTAAATTAATTTCAAATGACCTCCAGGTCAAGGTCAGGTGGTAAATATATGTTTTTACTCTATACAAGGTTCAAGTTTTTGCAGATAAGCAGATTAAAAGACAAATAGACAGATATGGACATACCAAAACCTATATGTCCCAGAATTAAATCAATGAAAATCCATGTCAGAAGATTTATTTTTGATTATATCAGATATTCATGATTCCCTTAGTTCTGTTCATGATATTGCAGCTTAAAATTATTATTACTACACTTCAATAAATAAAAAACCAAAGATAATTCTTGAAAAGAGAAAGTTATTTTACATGATTTAATCATTTCTTTTAGTAATACGAACCAAAATGTTTTTTTTTTCTAAAAAGATATCTTGTTTTCCTTATAATCATTCATAATAGCTAGGAAAGAAAGTATTTTATCAATATATTTATATCTTTTGATAAAAAATCATATAATACCGTAAAGATGGTTATTTTAATGGGGTGCTAATTTTGGCGTTTTGATGATAGTCCACTTAAATTTTAATTGCTAAATAGTCAGTGCTCTTATGAGTGTCCATCTGCAAAGAGTTTAAATCCTGTGTCCGCTAAAATAAATTACACCAAAATAATTGGCATACCGTGGATAAGCCAAAACACCAAATTTTATACCCGCCAAGAAAACCCGCTATATGGTAATCAGTAAATTGTCATCCAGTGTGTGTACCCACCATTGTATGGGATCCACCAGTCCATGCTCTAAACACCAGCAAATCCTCAAACAAAGCAGCTACATCCTAATGGTAGATGATGGGTTCATATACATTTCATTTATAGTACAAATCATGAACCATCTTGTCACTTCTTCATTATCAAAATTAAATAATAATCACTTGATGTTATTCTTACATTTCAGCAACATAATGAATTGTATTCTTCAATATGTTTTTCTTAATACATGTATGTTTATATATGTAAATACAGGTCATTTCCATAGACAGTGTCTGATAAAACTTCAGACAAAAAAAATATGCATATAAATATAAATTCATTTTTTAAAACTTTACCTGAACCATTTGAAAAATAAGCAATGTTATAATCTGTGTATTGGTAGAACCTGCTTACCATTAGTTGTTGAGCTAGTTCCCTGGAGGGAACCAGTATAAGAGCTCGGGGAGAGTTTGTATCTTCATCATCGGGGAACTGTCTCAAACTGTAAGATTTCTGTCTCAAAATATTCTCCATGATGGGTAGTAAATAGGCAAGAGTTTTTCCACTTCCTGTAAACACACGAAGGATATTTATTATCTTCAAACTGGTTATAAAGAACATTTTAATAGCATCACAAAGGTATATGAAAAATAGAAATTCAAATGATGTGAAAAAAATGTTTTATTTTGTGAGTTTACTGTTTTAGATTTGAAATCAGAGTTCCCCATCCCTTGTTTTCCCCTATTGATGTTTATACAATCAGGCCCTTACCAGTCTGAGCAGCACACATAACATTCTTCCCTTGCAGTATCTCTTGTATTGTCTTTCTCTGTGAATAAAAATTACTTATTCTATTATTATTTTTACCTTCAATTTCAAATGTCTATAGAAGTAATAAAATAAAATTGATCCTATTTTTTCATTTTAAGTGTTACTCCATGTTCCACTGAATGGCATCTCCAAAGAAAAAGCACTTAGAATTGCCTAAACTGAAAACTGACATACATTTTTCAAAAACAGATTAAAATTTAAAAGTTATTTAGCTGTCTTAGCCAAGTGATTTCTTGCTATGAAGTACATGAAATTTAAAATCAAAACTGGAAGATTATCCCACATTTTCATATTTTTTAGCTACTTGTTGTAAAGTGAACAATACATGTAAACATTATATATGTTTCATTTTAAAAAGTATTAAAAAAACCCCACTGTTTTATTCAATGAAGTTAACATTGAAATAAATAACAAGTACACTGCATGTTTTAGTACAAAATATAGCATATCATATAAAGCATTTTACTAATTCATGAACGACACTAGATGCATAAATTTGTATCCCCCCAACTGAAAACATCATTTCTGCTGACCTGCACATCTGTAGGGATTTCTATCCCTACTGCCTTCAATCTCTGACACAATTCCTCACCAATCTTCAAATCTGAAAATCCACACTGTTCCGTGTCTTTTAAAACAGCAGGATTCTAAAACAATAGATTACTACACAAGTAAAACCTTACAGAAGTGATTACAAATCTGGCAAGAGGAAAGCACTCATTTTGGATTAAATCAAAACAACTACATGATAAATCATCATTCATATTTATTGCATAAAGTATTGAATTGTATGTACCATTCCATGAGCATTGATGGTGAAGAAATCCCTGGCCATGGCCGACTTATAATGCTTCCATCCATGTGAAGCCAGTTCCCTTGGGTTGTTCTCATCAAATTTCCCATTCACATGGAAATTATATTTCTTATTTTTACAGGTAATCAGCAGAGCACCTTTCCTTTGTTTTCTCAGAGCCTCTTCCTGAATTATTTTCTTTAACTTAACTTTCTCAATGTTTCGTGCCATTTTTATAGGGACTGTCAGTCTTGGAATTTCTTTCACTGTTACTTTCTAATACAAAAAAATAGGAGTACTAATATTACAACTGAAGTTTGAAAAACAATAACCTGATGTTAATGATTTTTTAAAAAATCTATATTCCTCTTGTATCATGGTTGCGGCACTTTTCCTTTGAATTTCACCGTACAATAACTGGAGATACACCAGCAAGGGGCGGAGCTCATTATACAGCAAAACTGTGCTGTTTAAATAATTTATTGTACAACTTTCACAGGCAAACATTGCATCATACATTATTCTCTCAAGATTTTTTGAAAGTACAAAACAGTTTTTTTCCCCAAAATTGTTATAAGTATGGAACAGAACATATATTACTTTGAAATTTCCTTTCAAATAAAAGATACTCAAATTACACGTATATCCATCTTGGACAATTGTATACTTGTACATAATATTTCTTTCAATAGTTTCTAATGAAATGAAAAGCTGCAATTATTGAAGCAAGGAAATGCCCCACCACTGCTCAAGTTGGTAATATCCCTCAAAGCGCTCTGATTTTCACGGACACATTCACGCTTGATAGGAATACTGGTTTCTTCTTCGCCGCTGAGCGCTGTCACGGGGGGTGGATCCAAACACTTCGACACTTTACAAGCGATATCTACATTTGACCTTTTGTATACACCCCCATCTCTGATCTGTGCCCTGTCCTGCCCATAATGTCTTGCTCATCAATTCCACTTTGGTATAATGCAGTCGCGCAAGTTTTTTTCCCAGAATGATTGGTGAAATTCCCCTTGAGTCCCGTACGATCACATATTATTTTCATCATCGATTTCAGTTTATTTACGCCGACAGCCTGAATACCGTATCGCGGTGGTGACCCTGCTAGCGGCCGTCTGTAGAATAGACCTTCATTTCCAAGGGCCTCCAAGTAAAGTTTGAAGAGATCCGCCATGCAACGCTCCCCTGCAACATTAAAATTCCAAATAAAATATCTAATATAATAAATTAAAATGCGATAGGCATATTTTTCATATTGTAATCTCTGTTCAATATTTACATCAGTGAGTCATTATACAGTTAAGTAAATAAAGAGACGAGAAGGGGGCATTACAGAAAAGGGGGGCATTATGAGATAAAGAGGGGCGGATCTATTAATCTCTAAAAAGTAAAAAGTCTAAAAGACAATATGGTTGTTAGCAAAAAATTTATAAATTAATCAGAATATAACTTACCAGGCTGGCAGTAATGTCTAATTTCTTTGTTGTAAAGCTCTTTATGCGCCAATCCCCCCTTAAAAGTTTTGGTAGACCTTCCAGTGAACTCGATGTATTTTCCTCGACTGTCTTCGTCCACGACAAACTGGTTGCACTCAAGAGAATGGTGTTCATCGTGTCCTCTCAAACCGAAAAATTTGCAGCAGTAGAAGAAGATGGTGCACTGAAGTGTCTCGGCATTTTTCGATCCAAAAACACCCTTCTCCCATATTTTGGCTTCGTCCTCGGGCAGTATCGGGTCGGCCTGTTTACGTTTCCCGCCAATACCCCGACTGAGCGCATCTTTCATTTTACTGTCTAGAATTTTCCTGAAGTCGGCAAATCTTGAATCTCGGTTATCAAGAAAGTTTTTGTCATATATCCCATTGTCGCGAAGGTACTCCAGTATCTTAAAATGCCACAGGATATGTAATATAGAGTTTTTGCCGGATATTCCTGGCCATCTCTTTTGCGCGCACTCATTATAAAACGTCCCAAGAAAAAGTTGAGCTGAACAGCGTCCATCGAGACCAACTCGGGTATTACTAACTCTTGACCTTGACCCTGGCTATTACGTTCAAGTCGCCAACTTTCAAATATGTTGAAGGCCCATCGCGTATTCTTCTTTGTGTTAATATTTTCCTGGCTTTCAATTAAGGCTTGAATTTCGCTTTCATCAACAATTTTACCAAACCTCGTGTCTTTCGGGTCATTGGGCTCAAAGTTGAAATCGAAACTTGGTATATCTCGAGAATCCGTCGTCTCATGTAACTGAATTTCGGCCAGTTGATGATTCATTTCAATTTCATCACACACTTGAGACAGCAGAAGGTCATCTTGCTCCGATGTTTCAATTTCGTCGCACACTTGAGAGAGGATAATATCATCTTTCTCCGTCGTTTCTAGCAGAAAGTCGATATCGGCCAGATTAAGCGTCTCGAACTCCATTGGCATTGCTTCCTCAGAATTACATGTGTCCATATCTATTGAGTATCAATCGCGCTATGCACAATTTGCACGGGACAGCGGGAAAGATTTGTCACATGATTGGAAAATTGTATTTCATTGGAGTTTGGCTATTTTATAATGAATAATCATCTTTAAAAATCACGTGTTCAAAAGTAAACTTTTTAATTGGACCATGATACAAGAGAGTTATTGAATATTTATTTTGGTGTATCCTGAGTTATTTGGGCGAAGGGCGGAGACTCGTGCTTCGCACTCGACACCGCCCTTCGCCAAAATAACTCAGGATACACCAAAATAAATATACAATAACTATTACTTGTACACATTTCAATCACCTGTCTCGTGAAGGTTTTCATTGCAAAACTGAGGCATCTTTGAATAAGGACTTCCTTAGGCATTCCTTAAAAAAAAGAACAACATTTTAATATCCATTTTTTCCAAAAAATATGTGATATGTAGTTTGCAAATTGAAAATAAATAATAAATAAACTTCACCACTACCTAAATCTTACATCTAAGTGGAACTTTATCATCTGTGGACTGGTATAATGAAATCTACTTGGGAAAAAAATTGGATTCTTTAGGTTTATAACTGTATATTATTTACATTATTACATTTACAAAATATTCAAATAAAGTTTCTTTAATTTACAAGAACTTTTTAAAATATTGAACAATTTTTAATTTATAGCATATCTTAAATATTTGGAGTGGTAGTTGAGAAAAAAATGTGTTTGTGAAATGTGTTTATGAAACACTGAAGTCCCCCATACGACAGCTTATGGCGAGGGTTGAATTCTTTAAAATGCATGCAAAACTCCAAAGGTCAAAGTCAAAAGGTCAAAAGTGCTTGTACCCAAAGGAAGGTCTTCTTACAAGGAATACACCTCTGAAATAGAAAAGCCCTAGTTCTTATTGTTAAAAAGTAATGAACAAGGTTTAAGATCTTCAAAAGTGGATCAAGGTCATTTTTTTTTTTTTTTTTTTTTTTGCAAAATTTGGTCAAACTCCAAGGTCAAGAGGTCAAATTTGGTGGTACCCAAAGAAAGGTCTTGTCACAAGGAATACACCTGTGAAATATGAAAGCCATAGCCCCACCCACTCAATAGTTAGGGGTTAGGTTAAAGCTGACAACAGATAGATAGCAAGACAGACAGGATAAAAACAATATAATTCCGGGATCTTCGATCCGGGGGCATAAAAATCCAACCTTGAATTCTTTTACGCTCCTTTAGTTCAGTGAGTTGGAATGATGAATCAAAACGAATATGGATTACAGTGAAGATTTCAGCTTGAATAATGGAATACTGCAAAAATCGAAAAAAGTCATATTTCTCCTCTAGAACAGTAAAATGATTTTCTACAGGTGTGCAATAAAGTAATTTCTATTTAACTCTTAACTCTAGGTAAAGACAACGTTCACGCTGATTTCAACAACTGGAAGTAAATTAAGGAAACTAAATGCAAAATTGGACACGAAGGCGCTAAAAAGCCGGATACACGTTTTTAAAATATCTTAACAACTAAGAAAATACTATCAAATTCAGTCAGTAAAAATTCACATTTATAAATCCAATTTAATACTGTTTAACGTTTATGGGACACTTGTTGCAATAATATCCCAGAATGAAAGTTTCAATTCGCTTACGTCTTTGGAGCTCCGTTTCGATTTTAAACTTTACAAATTTTTATTTTTTGAGGAAGTTCAATTTCGTTGATGAGAAAAATGCAGATTTCGCCAGAATTCAACAAAATCGTTGAATCGTTGATAGTAGAGGGAAAATTTGGTGTATGCAATGGAATAATTAGAATCGATGATGTGAAATCAGGGTAGGAATAACTGAAATCCAATACTTAATTTACGAAAGTTAGCCAACCCCCAACCCCCCCAAAAAAAGTCTGTATTTATTAAACAGAGTTTTGCAACTGATTCAGTGATTGAAAGACATGAAATTATTATGATTTCTATTGCAGAAGCTGCACAACACAAAAGGGGCCCCGTGGAGATCGTTTTAAGGTGTATATACCCTACGCAGGCCAGACACTGACATGTAAGTGGACCTCTTTTACCTCACTTGCCAGTTATTTTCTAATGACTGTATTAATTTTTATCCTGCAACTACCCCTTGCATTGACCTAATAAAGGTAACCTAATAAACCAAAGCTTTATCCGGTCACTGCCCTAATAAAGCCTCGTGCATGTATTCCGACGTTCTAAAAGCATTGTGACGTCACGTATACTGCAATGTTTACGCCATGGCGTCATAGTTTCAACTGCAGAGATGTGCCTAAATCTGTCAAAAATAGCTAGTTTTGGACTTTAAAATTTCAGAAATATGTTGCAGGATAAACAAAATACATGATAACTGTCTTGAAATATAAGCGATATTTGGACTCGGGTCGAAAACGTAAGAGGGCTCGGCAAGCCTCGCCCTCTATCACGTTTTCTTACCCTCGCCCAAATATCGCTTATATTTCAAGACAGTAACCATGTATTTTATATATACTGTTGTCACCTCTCTACAGGGGAAGTCATTTTGGATAATTCCTGCCCAGAGGATCCTCCAGACTTCATTTTTGAAGAAACAGATTTTTGTCCAAATGTAGCAGATGTCAAGGTATATTGATAAATGGCAATTCCTTCACTGTCTAACTCTTAATTTCATTTTTCAGTGCCATGTTGCAAAAATACTGATTCCAATTTGTATTCAGAAAATGACTTTGAAAGATAAGATCTGTACATTTTTGAGATAAATGGAGTACATGTAGTATTAAATAAACAGAAGAATGAGCGACACATCTGTCTTCTCAGATTATATGGGAGGAAATAATTTATACCCAACTTGAATTTATTCAATGATTTCTGTAAGAATGATTTACTTAGTTGTTTTTTTTTTAACATGTTTTCGTACATCTTAATATTTTTATATAATTCAGAGCAAATCATAGTTTAATTCTGTAGAAAGTATTGCAGGACAGATTTTTTTATATTATAGAGTTTATTGGACTGGGATGTAGATAATCCCTACTGTTTGATTGAGGTCATCAAAGAACTGCTGGAGCATTACAAGGCTTTCCAGGAGAGATTATTAGAAGCCCATTCTAGACTGCAGTTTGAGTACAGCTCCTTACTGGATCACACTGAGTTATCTCGAGATCTTATTGAAGTGTACTCAGAAAGATCAGAGGTAAGATTGAATTTATTGGAGATAAATACAGTAAAACACTCTAATAAAGTGCCAGGGATGGCAGACTTTACTTCCTCCTTACATCCGTTAAGTTTACAATATATTTGAAACTCAAAGGAATGAAATCACTTTGCTATTAGTATGATAAGTGTCCATTTATGATAAGCCTGTTTGCTGTAAGCATGTTTTACTGTATATTTCTTATAAAATTTTATTCTTCCTAATCAAATTTGCAGGTGAATATATTACATTAAATAACTTTGAAATAATATCTTAAATTTGTTTTAATAGCAAATAAGGTTTTGAAAGATACTTCAAGAAGACAATTATACATATGTACAAATAATGTACTATATTTATACAATCCAAAAGGTCAAAGAGATGTAAATTATTTTCCTTTTAGAAATAGATTATTGATATAAATTCTGCATGTACAGTACATGTCATCTTCACTAGCCAAAGGTTTCCGATCAGAAATCTATGTTGCAGACTAGATTTCGGATCAGAAAGCCTTGGCTAGCGAAGATGAGTACATGTATTATATTCATTGTTATATATCATGACTATTAACGAAGTACTTTGCTTTACAGCAGCGAGTTGGGCCGATAAACTTTCTCATAAAACTTCCTGTAGATTTCTCAGATGTTCCTCCATACCTCACAAAAGTAAGTATTTTTAATGTGCAAAATGTAAACAGAAATATATCTTTTTTCTCGTTCATCAGCAACCAAACTGAATTTTGGTGTTAAGTTTCATCAGTACATGTACTGTGATAAGACAGATAATTCCAACTGGAATATATCACATTCTTTTATAAATTATAAAATTATCAAGTTAAAAGACTGCTGTAGAAGTACTTTTTTCCGCGTGGTATTATTTTACGCTATGTATGCGGTCACAAATTTTCCATGGAAATTTGTCAAAGCATACTTAATATTAATGTAAGGCATATAGTAACAGTTTAAGAAATCCGTGTAATTTTCTACCCGTGGATTAAACAGAAATTGTGATTCCGCGGAATTATGACCCCGCGGAAAAAAGTACGTCTACAGTATTTTTGTCAAATTTTGCCCCGACAAGGTTTGCTTACATTAAGAGATTGTGTTCATTTTAATCACAAGATTTTAAATTATTAGATTTTTTTAAGAAAATAAATAGTGTACAGGTAAGGCCCCAAAAAAATAATCAATAGTTTCTCAGGCACCGCCGCATCAGTTCAAAAACCGCCGCATTGATCAATTTTATTGACATATTGAAAAGGGAAATAACTCAATTTTCTATTTTTTCAAGTTGAAAAAGAAAATTGAGTTATTCCCCTTTTCATAGATGCTAAGATAGACGTTTTTATTAGAAAAACAATATATTTCTTCTTTATTTACAATATTTTATGAATTAACTTTTAAATAAATGTTTGAAATAACATTATTTAAAGTTGAATGCATATTATAATTAATTTCAGAAAACAAAAATTAAGAATCAGTAGATTTATTTTATCATTTTATTGTACAAATGACTTTTAAAAAAGTGCAAAACCTGTTTCAAAAAAAAAAAAAAAAGCCTGCCTGCCGCATTGAATTTTGAATTTTTTGGCCTGAGAAACTATCCATTAATTTTTTTGGGCCTAAAAGCAAAGTTTTATATGAGTGAACAGAGAGATAATCAAATCATTATTTTTGTATTCCATTGTGTATTATGTGAATGTTTAATGATTGTAGGATAATCCTGGTGAAAATTCAGCAGTTCTACTGATATCATTTCCATCCCCAGACAGTTCTAGAGTAACTCCTCAGTTATATTTATCACCAAGAGTAGAACGGTAGGTACAGCTTTATAAGCATTTAAGGAAAATGTCCTGTGTAGAGCAGACATTTTCCTTAGAGTACCATGAGTACACTACACACAGTGACAAATGTTTACTATTTGGGAGTGGGAGATTTGTGTATGGTAGTTTCCATTTATCCAATACTTTATTCACACTGCCACTGAAATCGGAAATCATTGCTCTTTGAAACTTCACTATGTTTTTAAACATTTTGTTATGCATGGATGTACATGTACATGTGCACAATATATAAGTGTAAGTACATGTTAAAGAATTTAGGAAAATCAAAATGTCTTAATTACAATTATTAATCAACAGTCTTTTCCCTTACAGTGCTTTTGGTGGCTCCAGTAACTTGAGGATACCCACCTTCCCCAATGGAGGTTGTTTGTTAGATTATGTACCCAATGTCTACAAGCTTTTACATAATAAGGTAGGAGAATATTCAGCATGCAAAGTTACTCACCTACAGAATTTATACCGAAGTTTTGTGTTAGACATTGTAAGAAAAAATAATCTCATTAATTACATATTTCATTTTTTCAGGTGGAGAAAACAATTCAGATGTTTGAAAAAAGAAAAGATTTAATAGCTGCCTTTTTGAGTCAATTTGGAAGGTAAGAAGCTGATGAGAAAGAGTTCTGCCCCTTAGGTGCACATCCCTTTTGCAGGTTTACACACCAATTTTAAGGGCCCTCAAAGCACCACGTAAAGATACTGTTCAAATTCCAGAATAAACTGTTAATGAAGCAGACTTCTGGCAGTTCTGAGAAGACCCTTATTCACAGCCTTTAAAACATTCTATCTAAATAATTCAATAAAAAAAAAATACACACACACATTGCAATCCAGCAAGTACAAAAGTTTGTTTTCACAGAAGATAATGCAGGACCATGTTGATCCTCAAAAAAACACCTCCAAAAATTAAACATGTTTTTTTCCAAAAACTTTTAACATAATAAGCATCATCCTTATTCATCCTCTCTATTTCCTGATCTGTGGAAATACATGTAGAATGGACTCGTAACTTGTGGCTTGGGATAATGTATAAAAACTTAATACAAGTACTTTTAATCTGATAAAATTTAGTATCCCTCTTGTGCAAAAGTGCACCAATCTATTAGAGGACATTCTTCACTGACATGAATTTTGAGGGAAGGACTGGTGTTAAGCTTTCAATCCTTGATGCTTGTAGAATCAATATATTGATTTACATAAGTAATAATAAGCATGCTATTTTTCCAAGGTTGTTTTTCAGATGAATCATTTTCTTTTTTAGATCAGTGTTGGAATTTGATGCAGAGGGATTCTCAGAAATTTCATTACTGTTTGAGTGGAATGATTTTTTCTTCATTTTGTATGGTGAGTTACTGTTGTACTGCAATCAACATTAGTAATACATGTAGTTATGACAGTAATATAAATTGAAATTATGAATAATGATTGAATATACATGTATAGGTTTGAATACACGGAATATCTAGTAGTTTGGGAATCTGCAAAAGTTGGTTATTTTCATGGAACAATACAATTGCCAAAAAAAAAGAGCCCCGATATTTCCAAAACTTAATATACAGAGTATTAAAATGAAAAAATTACCTGAATAAAAATGCCTCTATTTAAACTTTTGATATGAAATTCACCAAATTAATTACTAGTTATACAGTGACATAATTATCAAGAATTAATATTTCAGTGGAGTTACCTCAGTCATTTCCACAAGAAGCTCCCGTGCTGACTTTCCAGTCGATATATCACGAGTCTAAAGACAAGCCTTATATTGAGATACATGACAGATACCCATACAGTCCTAGGTGGAGCGGAACTGAGATGGTCTCCAGAATCAAGTAAGTTAACAATTAGTGTTAAAAATATAGGGAATAGGACTACACCTTGTATCACTCTCTATCTGATTCATTTGATCCAAATGTAGGAAAAGTGTTCAGCTGAACAAATGTACAAGTTTAATTTTAATTAATATTTTTTTAAATTTACAAATGAAAAATTTCAATTGATTAAAGGACATTTCTTTATATGCTACTTGATATTAAATTTTTTAACTTTCAACTTATACAAGTAACGAGGTGATAAAATATTTTCTCTCCTTGCAGGACCTACATTTTGGACAATATTCAAGCTTTCCAAAAGCAGTCTGTGATGAGTGGGTCAATTTAATGAGCAATAAAAATACTTTTCTGTTACTTGTAAAATTGCATGTCTAGTCAACATGTTTATGTCTTATCTAAGTCATGCAAGATCAATGAATAAACAATGTGAAAAATAATTTCAAAAATTTTGTTATGATTTTTAGCTCTACTGGTCAGAGACCAGAAGAGCTTATGCGATAGTAATGCGTCCATCGTCCGTCTGTCTGTCTGTCTGTCCGTCTGTAAACAATTTTTCAAAATGCTACTCCTCCTACAGTTTTGGTCTGATTACAATATAACTTGGCACACAAGTAGACTACACTAAGATACATAATTCTGTGTATTGGTTTTTGATTTCGATGAACGGTGTTGCCGTGGTTACTAAAAATAGAAATTTCTGTGAAATTCTTTCAAAATGCTACTTCTACAGTTTTGGTCTGATTTCAGTATAACTTGGCACACAAGTAGACTACACTAAGATACATAATTCTGTGTATTGGTTTTTGATTTCGTTGAACGGTGTTGCCGTGGTTACTAAAAATAGAAATTTCTGTGAAATTCTTTCAAAATGCTACTTCTCCTACAGTTTTGGTCTGATTTCAATATAACTTGGCACACAAGTAGACTACACTAAGATACATAATTCTGTATATCGGTTTTTGATTTCAATGAACAGTGTTGCCATGGTTACTAAAAATAGAAATTTCTGTGAAATTCTTTCAAAATGCTACATCTCCTACAGTTTTGGTCTGATTTCAATATAACTTGGCACACAAGTAGACTACACTAAGATACATAATTCTGTGTATCGGTTTTTGATTTCGATGAATGGTGTTGCCTTGGTTACTAAAAACAGAAATTTCTGTGAAATTCTTTCAAAATGCTACTACTTCTACAGTTTTGGTCTGATTTCAATATAACTTGGCACACAAGTAGACTACACTAATATACATAATTCTATGTATCGGTTTTTGATTTCGATGAACGGTGTTGCTGTTGTTACTAAAAATAGAAATTTCTGTGAAATTCTTTCAAAATGCTACACCTCCTACAGTTTTGGTCTGATTTCAATATAACTTGGCACACAAGTAGACTACACTAAGATACATAATTCTGTTTATAGGTTTTTGATTTCGATGAACGGTGTTGCTGTTGTTAGTTAAAATAGAAATTTCTGTGAAATTCTTTCAAAATGCTACACCTCATACAGTTTTGGTCTTATTTCAATATAACTTGGCACACAAGTTGACTACACTAAGGTACATAATTCTGTATATCAGTTTTTCACTTTAATGAACGGTTTTGCCATGGTTACCAATAATAAAAATTTCTGTTAAATACTCTCAAAATGCTACTCCAAATACAGTTTTAGTCTGATTATACAATGTAATATAATGCGGCATGCAAGTAGACTACACTAAGAACATAAAGAGACTTAATCAAGGATCATTATTCTATTTATTGCTGTTGAAAAGTTCCAATTTCCAACTGCTTAAGTACTTTCCTCTTCATTTGCTATAAGTACAAACCAGTAGAGCGTCAGTCTCGACAGAGACTTCTGGTTTCTAACCCTATCAAGAAAATGTAATTGATTATTTCTTTCCTTTTGAGAAGTCCAACACCTGCAACATTATATTTTTGAAACCCAAACAATTTAATTTTGACATCCTGCTTCTTTTATCTTGTTCTTTATTTTGACTTCCAATGTTTTTTTTTTTTTTTTGCCACCTGAATCATTCCACTTTATTTCAAATTTTATGCACAAAATTTTTAAGATGAAGTAAATCCTAAATAATGAGCTTATTTTTGGTATGTTGTTCAATCTTGATGACTTAGGTCAAGTTTTATGTTATTTGACCCTTTTTACAAAAATCATGGCTCTTACACTTAAAAATTTTTATAATTCACAGGTTTTTTGAATTCATTTTTGCTCTGCTTATAATGACTTTTTTGTTATGTTACTTGATTTTATGGCTCTTTTGTTATGAAAGTCATTGCCCTTTTAAGCCAAAATAGCAAGAGGCTTTTCATTATTGTATTTTGGACTTTGAAAAATACAATAATGAAAAGCCTCTTGCTATTACATATTTCAGCTTAAATCTTTGACCCACCCTACCCCCAAGTGCCATGATTCGAACAATTTTGAATATCTTGGGGAGTTTCAACAATAAGTTTCACCTTTTCTGGCCCATGGTTTTTGAGAAGAAGATTTTTAATGATTACTGTTTAATTCATTGTAAAAACTTTTGTTCCCTATGGTTGCCCCTTCCAACCCCCTGGGAGCCACGATTTGAACAATTTAGAATCTATGTTAGAAAGCTTACACATAATTAACTTTTTTGGCTCAAAGCCTAAATATTTTTCCAGAGAAAAAGAAATGGTTTAAATGAAAGTAAGCTCAAAATGAAAATAATGTTTTGTTTCAGTGTTAAGGAATATAGGAATCGTGGCAAAACTTGAGACTTCACTTTTATTAGAAGACTTTTGCTAAATTAAATAAAGAATTCTCATTGGCATATCATACAGACTATTCTGATAGAGATAAAATTTCACTGTCAATTTGAAAGTTTCTCCAAAAATGCTACACACAGAAGGAATTTTAAAAAGGACATGGAAGCACCACATTTACACAGCTGGATTTTTTTTTTGGAAAAACTTAATTTTTTATGGTCTCTGGGTCTTCTCTCCATTTTTTACAAACGTATGTTTGTTTCTTTGAATTGAAATGCACATAAATAACATTTCAAAAATATGGAGAGAAGACCCAAAGATAGAAATTTTATAAAAAAACGTGTAAAAATGTACCATTTTGTACGAAATGCCTGATCTAGCCAATTTTCAAGTTACATGTATTTTCTAGCAAATCAAAACTCATTTTCGGGAAAATATTTTTCTTCCCATTTCACAGGAACCCGATAAATAAAGAAAATGTTCAAATTTCATGTGACATTTTGATAAAATTTTCACTTTTCAAGTATGCCCAGATTCCTGCCGAATGCCAATCAAAAGCGCCCTCGTTCTTTGCTGAAAATTTATACATAAAATCGATATTTTAAATATTTAAAATTATTAAAGTACATCAAGAACAGTCAAGTAGACTTTTCTGACGACTGTTGATGTTGTGAATAATCAACAAGTCAAGTCTCAATGATATTATTAAAGTTCTGTATCACTTTCTCCCATGTACAGTTGTATAAGGATATTACTAACACTTTTGAGACAAAATATTTAATGTCTTTCTTTTTACATTTGATAAAGTGTAAAACCATAACAAATGATATGTTAGCAGAAAATACAAAACAGTAAAACAAAAATATACATGTACATGTAATGGAAAAATCTTTTGTAAAATGGTTACATACCCTGTAATTGACAAAAGCAAATATGCACTGGATTGATCACTTGTAAAAAAAAAAAAAAAAAAATCTCACAAACAAGCATTATTAGTTAACACTGAGATTCTTACTTAAGTAATTTTGCACATACATGTACTTATTAATCATGATCCTTGCTTAAGTCTATGTACATGTATTTTGAATGAAATGGAACAATATTTGCCATTGCATCATATTTTAATCATTTTTTTGAATACTGAATAACTAAATATTTTCTGCATCCTTTATTATGAACCACATTTTTAAAACTTGAAGTAGATAAAATGAGTAGATTGGGGAAAAAAATTTCAAACGGATATATTGGTCCCATATAGATTTCAGTTCATTGAATACAATATATAACAGTATATCAATATATAATGATATTGGATTAAAATAAAATACTGGAAAAATTCATGTCATGGTGTGACATAGTTAAATATGTATATTTGTTCAAAAATAATTAAAAACCTTTATAAGAAAATAAATATTCAGTAAAAAGTCATAGAATCCCTAGAGTCACAAACATCAACTGAACAATTGTGCGACATCGTCTTTTATCGACTGATATTCCTGGTCCTCCAGCTTGGCTGTTTCTATGGTTTCATTGATAGAATCTTCTGTCAGTCCTCCATAGAGCTCCTCAACTGTAAAAAAGTCAGGCATTAAAGAGGCATTGACTTATTAATATTAGTAAAAATAATGTATTTATTGAAGTTATCACAACACGTGTATCAATAGAAAACATGTTTATCTAGTGTGTAGGAAGAGTGTCAGTCTGATTTAGCATATGTAAAAGTTAAATGCCATTCGAAGGTTCTTTCTCAGTCCAGTCAGATGTTTTCCCACCCACCCACCCACCCTCACAAATATTACCTTTGTTTTTATTAATATATGCTTTTGTTGTGTAGATTGGATGAGTTGTCAAGAGGGAAAGTTGGAAATGTATATTCTGTATACAGTGGACCTTCAGATATCCGGACGCCAGATATCTGGATGCTTCAGTATCCAGACGACTTTTCATCGGAACGGAATTTTTCAACGTTATTTTGTCTTGTTTAACTAGTAATTTAGACATCCGGACCCTTCACATATCCGGACAAATTGACTAGGAACCAGTGTCTGGATAAATGAGACTCCACTGTATAATATTACACTGCACTTACGAGAGAGCTTCTGTACCTACCTATATAAGTGTTGTTATTTATTTTATAAATTATTTATGTTCCTTTGAATAAATAAATATATATATATATATATATATATATATAAACCTGGTATTAAGTATATAGACAACAGTAAGGGAGATTACCCTTGATTGGTAGATGTCCTCCCAATTCAACAACAGCTACATTAAAAGCAGCCTCTTCTTTTATGCCTATAAATGAATAAACACTAACACTTGATGTTTCTAGCATTTAAGATATCTTTGCACCATATACACATAGATGTACTAGTGGTAACAAACAAAAGGAAAACAGCTTACACATCAATATTATTATATTGCAGGAATTATAAATAGGATTATGAGAAAAATTGAATTGGGTTTGCCAGAATCTGCTTACCTATGAACTTTTTGCGTGGCCACAGATAAACCCTTACTGTAGGTTCAGGGGACTGGGAATCGAAACTTTCCCCGTATGTCAGAAACATGTTGTGGGCAATCTCATGGTCAGATAGGTACTGGGTGACTTTATAAATATCTCTTTCAAAGAAATGAAATGTAAAAATTCAAAACATTTGTTCCAAAGAAAATTGAATAACAAGATGAGAAATGTTTGTAATTATTGTTACTTTTGATACCATTGTACTTCCTTAACTTCCTTACCTAGATAAATCTTCTGTGGTATTTTTGTAAAGCTGAAAGGCAAACCCTGGACATGGCATGGCATTCAGCTCATATAGAGGTCCCTTTATATGTGTCACAGGCTGCAGAAAAGAAGTGTTCATATATTTTTATCCTGCTACTACCCCTTGCACTGACGTAATAAAGTTAACCTAATAAACCTAGTTATATTCAGCCAATGCCCTATTAAAGCTTTGTGCATGTATTCCAGCATTCTAAAAGCATTGTGACATCATGTATATTGCAATGTTTAAGCTATTGTGTCTTAGTTTCAACTAAAGATATATGCCTTAAACACATTGAAAATAGCTCTTATTGGATGTCAGATGTAAAAATAGCTCTTTTTGGAGGTCAGATGTGAATATAATTTTCAGGATAAACAAAATACATGGTCATTGTCTTGAAATATAAGCAATATTTGGACTTGGATCGTAAAGGTGATGGATGACTCGGCAAGCCTCGCTCTCTATCAAGTTTCTTACCCTCGCCCAAATGCCACTTATATTTCAATACAGTAACCATGTATTTTATATAATATATATATTTTATCTATATACTGTAAACCAACTCTTATTCACGACGACTTTATTTTGCGATTTACCAAGGGTAAACTAGTTCGCGACGATTAATTTTCGCGATCACGCCTATTTAGGTTCTCTTGTTAGTAGACACATATATATATATATACTATATATACGAGGCTCTACATTTGGCGATGTATTTTATTTTGCGATTTTGGCAGAAAGCAGAATCCACCAAATCAAATACATTGCAAAGTGTCTTGAATATTAAGCATTTACCGGTACATCTAGCACATTCAGATAATGCTTAATCAAATCTAGGTTAACTTTCTGAAAAATAAATTTCCACCAAATATCGTACACGACAAATATAATACAATAACACTAATACTTATATTTTCATTTTTTTTTTCAATATTTATTTATAATTTTTTCCTCCACATTTTACTATACATGTATATACTCACACAATTTTCCACAAATAAATCATACTCTAGGTAGTAAGCATGAAGGTGTAGATGATTGACAGAAGCAAAAGCACACAAACTGTTAAATCCAACTTTGAATCCTCTGCAAAGGGAAATTTAAAGATAGGCTAACATTTGAAAAACGATCAGTTTTCTGATTGATTTGATGTACACCATCTTAAAAACACATCAAGACGATCTTTGACACAAAATGTAGTTGAAACTAGCCTATAAATATTTAAATTTCATAGTTCCATGTTTTCTAAAATATGTTTTGAGAAATTACAAAAAGTAATCATAAAAGTTTGAAGTTGCAAGAAACCATTGCCATTACTTTTTGGTTAAATGTAATCACAAGTGGTAATTCACAACTTAGTAAACATATCGAAATAATTTTAATCTCATGCTATTAAGTGAAATGTTCCAAATAGTCATTGATTAAGAAAGGGGAAAGACTCTTAAAACACCTTTCTCTTAACATTACCATATTTTTTGAGAGTAAATGTAAAGTACATGTAGCACATTTCCTTCAACAATAAAGTGCATACCTACCTATGACTGCTCAGCAACATACACTCTAGTCCTGTTTTAATGGCAAACTGAGTGAGAATTTGAGGGTAAAAAGCGTCACAGTCAGGAACAATAAGGATATGTCCATACTCCAGAGGGCTCACGTTGATTATCACCAGAGTACGTCTCTGAAATTAATAAATGTACCGCTTATTTTAATTTTCATTACAAATGTAAATCTAAGCAAACCAAATGTAACAGTGCTTAATGAGGTACGCCACTCCAAAATGTAATTTAATGGGCCTTTCTTTTGATAAATGATGTGTCAATTTATGCATTTAAAAAACAATACACTGTACTTAAATTATTAATCCTTAATTTTTTGAGTTATAAGGATATTAAGGATTTTTTAATGAAAAAAAAATTATGGTTGTAAAAATCAGTATTTGTTATTACTTTTAAATTTAAAAATAAAGTCTTGAAGAAAAATGTGCTGGGGCACAGTCAATGAGCTATATACAATTTAAAAATTGAAATGACAAAAGGATCTCTGTAGCTTTAAATGTCATTGATCCCATCTTTCTCTGTTAACGGTAATAAACAGTTCTACCTTTTTGGTTTCTCCATTACATAATACATTTGTTTCCTCTTTTTCAAGTTCAAATAAAACTTCCTCTGATTTGATCTTGGTGAAGTTGAACTGTTTTGGGTCAAACTTTTGGTTGACAATTGTGATTTCCTGTGGTTTCCTTCTTTCTGTGGCTCTTTTCACATTCAACTGAAAAAAAAATATGCTTGGATATAAAAAATGAAATTTTCAAATTTTTCAACATTTTTGTTCAAGTTTTTGTTTGAAGTCATTTCATTCTAATTAATTTCATTCAAATTTTTAACATAAAAATTAAAACATCCTGTTTTATTTTTTTGGGCCATACAAATATGCAAATATATATACTGCAATCGTAGAATTTTTTTCTTCTTATTACCTGTGCAACATATTTCTTTTTTCCTGGAATAATTTTAGTCTCTACTTTGTCAAGTTGATATCGGAAATGACCATCTTTCATCGCTTGATCCCATTTTTGGCGCAGAAGAGTATCAAACTGTAAAATTAAAATGTTTTATAAAAGCCTACAATTTTCAAAACTCATGATTGATATTCACTACCAGCTTATGAATAGAGAGTAAGAAAAGTTAGAAAACGAAAACTACTCCCCTGACCACTAAAACAGAACATGCTTTTTGAAAGCCATGAGTATCAACCATATAGCCAGAATCTTTAATACAGTATATGAATATCTTTAAAGGTTAAAAAAAAATAAGGACAGTTTACCAGCTAGATATCTAGTATTGTCTACGAGTGAAGATTTTCAGTTGCCCTCACTCTGAGACTGCAGAGGCATGAAATTCAGATCCATAGGACATTGATTTCAAAGTAGCTCAGCATAAGCAAACAGGTTACCGGTATCTGATACAAGTAAATGTTCTGGGGTAAAAAAGACAATTCTGAAGATTTTACAGGGCATAGACTCTGCATTCTATGGATATTTAAAGTATACTCATTTTTCCCTGCCAAAACCTAAAAATCATGGCTCATTTGACATCCATTTCACAATACATGTACCACTGATGAACCTACATATATTGCTCAGCTTGCCAATAGTTTGTCATCTAGTTGTCAAGAAATAAAAGATATTAAAGCTCAGAAAACATTGAGAAATGGGTTACCCTGTATCTATAAATACATGTTTGTTCTTCCCTAGCAACAAAATTCTATTCAAAAAGTTTTGTTGAAAACCTTTGAAAAAATAAAATTAATTTTTAAGCTGCTGGATAACTTACCTTACTGGAATGATGACCATTTCTCTCTGATGATGAGACACCAGTCAGATCACCTTCCCTGTATAAAAAGCTCTCTGCCATCACATATCTAGACAAAAAAAAGAAATCAAATTATCTGATTTGTGTATGTACTCTATATACATGTATACACAATAGATACATTATCTATATGCCATCCAACAAAAAATTCGAAACCAGTGAGTTTATTAGTCTGTACAGACAACTACTGTAAATGAGGTTATATTGACGAGTTGAAAAATTGACGATTTTTGTTTACGAAAATTGACGAGTGTTAATTTTGACGAAATATTTAATCAAGAGTTATGTATCCTTGAATTTACGGGGATACAAAGGCAGCGTCAGAATCACTAAAATTTAATTTTAGTACAGACCATCTACAGTGTGTAAGATTGTACAAATCATCAAAGTTTGTAAGATTTGATTAAAAAAATTGCAGTATTGTAATTTGTTTTCATTTTTTATAAGCCTGAGGTGACAAACTAGGTCAAGCACAGCATGATAATTACACTTAGTTATGTATGCAATATTTGATACTCTATTTAAATTCAATGTTTTTAAAAAATTGATTATATATCATTATGTTTTATAACTAATCACAAAAGAAATGACAGTAACCTTGATCTAGTTTTAATAGGTGAAAGCCTAGAAAATTCAGCGGTAATGTTGTACAATGGTCAATGTCTGTTGTAATGCTATATATATGATGTGAAGTTTGACGAGTGTAAATTTTGACGAGAAAAGAAAAATCGTCAATATAGTCAAAATTAGCACATCATCAAAATTTCCACGTTTCCAGTATATTAAAGGGTTGGGAGTAAGGGTGAAACGTTTACTGAATTTTGTAAACATTTAAACAAACAGCAGTAAACAAAACGGTACCGTTTAAACAGGAGAATTTTATGTGTTGAATTTTTATGGCTACTTACTCATGAACACTTATTTAATAAACCATTCTTTCACTATAATGTAAGTATGAGTTGTCATTACTGTTTATTTGTGGTTTTTATAACGAAAGAGTAGGAAGTGTCAAAAACTTAAATGAGATAGTAATATAAAAATATAACACAATAACATTGAGGGTTCCGGTTTTCGTTTAATTTTTCAAAACTCTATATTCAACATTATAGCGGTATAAGTACGATACTTTTTATTTTCTTATCAATAAAAAGCAACAACAAAGCTTATTTATTTTAGAACATTTACTTGGAAAAATAAAATAATACATCGCTAGTTTTTGTTTAATATTACGTTTCTGGAATTGATTATAACAGAAAAAAAATGTTTGTAACAGACACAGAATGTGTTTTCTTTGGTAAATATGAAATAAAACAACTTGTTTGGATGAAAGTTTTTTTTTTCTGATAGACATTGATATTGACCTTCGTGTAAATGTTTACTCAATTTGTAAACTTTTAGAGCATTTGATTGAAACTGTTTACACGTGTAATCGTTTCACCTTTAGTTGGGAATAAAATGTAGAGGATGATTAAAGAATATGTACAGAATTAAAGAGTGAAATCTGTACATATGTCAAGCAAATTTTTGAGTGAAACCTTCCCAGAATTTCTTGGCTACCAGGATTTCATGCGATAATGGCAAATAAATAAATTATATAAAAAATAAAAGACTTTTGGTTTGTAAAAATCTTAAAAGCAACAAGAAAATACTCTATGATGTCATTCGTCAAAAATTGCATAAGGTCTATAGTTTCTAGTTAGAATAATTTTACTGTGTCTTGGTACAAGCTAGGGGTGTGCAATATTACCGGTATATCGGTATATTGCGGTATTATCCACCACGATAATATATCGCGATATGAAAATCAGATACCGGTATTTCACGATATTTATAAAAATATATAAAAACCTCCTTTATTGTTGAAACTGTTAAAATAAAACTGGAAACTTCTAAGTCTTTTTCTTTCTCGTTGAAAGAATTCTTCGTCAGTTTCGTTCGGTAGAGAGAAAGAGAGAGGAGAGCTAGAGAGGGGGGTGGAAGCTTTTAATTCACTGTTGCAGTTTTGAATATCTTACTTTGAAATAAAATTACCAATTAATAAGACTTTAAAATAAAATTTATAAGAAAGAGAATATATAAAACATTTTTACAGGGTGTATACCATATGCATTGCGGTTCTCAAAATCTCGCATTGAATCTACACGATCGACATCGCGGTGAAATGTCAAGTTCAATATACATGTACATATTACAAGTAAATGGTCATCCATGTTTTCACTTGTAGCAGTGATGTTTTAATTATTTTTAATACCTTTCATGCCATTTTAAACACCTTATGCTATAGCAGGAGCATGTACATATTAAAACAGGCCATTTCCTGATTGTACGTCTTGATGTGAAATTAGGTCGGGTCAGACTAAATTACCAAAACGCACGAAAACAGGTCACAATTTCTTTCTGTTTTTTTAAATTTTATTTTGTAACCACAATAAAATTATTTTCATATAGGCCTAATATGTATATTGTTTTAATCTTTAATAACATTTTATGCTACTTCATTAACACCCCCCCCCCAAAAAAAAAGAATTCAATGAAAAAAGATTATATAATCTGTAAAAAATTTTATTTCAATGTGAAAATTCTCCAAGAGAGTTCATCTTGTTTTACTATTTTACCTGGAATTTGATTAAAAGTAAAGTGTTAATTTGGTGTGCAATCAATGTCTTATCCCTCCTCCCCCTTTTGAACTTAAAGATAAAATCAAATAGTCTTTGAACTTGACAGCATTTCAAACATTCTACTCAAATTTATTATTGATAATTAATCTACAATATATTGCAATATATTGCAATATTCAAAGTAAAATATTGCAATATATCGCAATATGGATTTCCTTCGCAATACCCAACTCTAGTACAAGCCCTCACTACAGTTAGAATATGTCAGTATTGTTGCAAATGTAGCAAATCTGAGCAGATCCACTCAGAAATGATTTTGAAGAATACAAAAGGGGTTGCATTAAAATTAACTATGAAATGAATCAAAGCAAACCTTTCTGTGATGGTATGTGCATTTTATCCTAAACAATAATCCATATAAAGACAAAATCAAACTTATTTTCTCAACTTGAACATTTTTTCTCAAGCTTCAAAGTTACATGCCATGTTGACATTCAGAACTCTCTGGATTGTTGTTACTAAATGCACTGAGTTCGAGTTATTGCGCATGTTTATTTTGAAACATAGGCAATACATGGAATGAATTCTATCGTTAAATCAGGTCTGTAGGAGATTAATCATTTTAACAATAGAACGTTCCATCTATCAACGACGAGCTCTGTTATATTGTGGGATGTGACAGCTAGTCAAGATGTCTCGTGCTACTTGATGTTTGAAGTGGCTGATCAATATTTCAAGTGTGTTATTGATGGTACAACCCTGCTTGCCCCATCGGTCACACCGTAAAACATATTATAGTAATGTTTTGTATTACTAAAAAGAATAACACTGCCCTTTAGTGTAGCAGTTACCAAACTGGCAAATAACGGATGTGTTTAACCAAAAAGGTGCATAATTGAAATTGAAATTGTTTGGGGTGCTTTTGGAAAGAGAAAAGTTTGGTGCCCTACATTCATTGATACATTCATTTTTGTCTCGCCTGCGACGAATGTCGCGAAGCGAGACATAGCGACCATAGATTCCGTCGTCGTCGTCGTCGGCGTCCAACTTTTGGTTAACCCAAATGTCAAAGTTTTATAAACTGCAATAACTTTCTCAAATTTTATTCAGTCTTCTTGAAATTTGGACACAATATTCAGTATGGATAAAAATTTATATCCCAAGTATGATTTTGAAAAAAAAAATTCAAATTTTTCCGTATTTTTTCCTTAAGTTGGACTTAGTTTTTTCATGATAATTTATGGTGAAGACCTATATTCCAGCAACTATAAGTTATAGGGATATGATAATTAGTCAGTGGATACATCATGGGTAACCACAAACGTCAGTACCAGAATTAGGTCATCTTGACCTACATTTTTCTGCATGAGTGACTTTGGTTAAATTTTTGGTGGAGGTCCATATCTCAGCATCTATAACTTATAATGGCATGATGATTTGTCATTGTACAGGTTATAAGTAACCAACAACATCAGTACCAGAATTAGGTCATTTTGACCTACATTTTTCTGCATGAATGACTTTGGTTAAATTGATAATGGAGGTTCATATTTCAGCAACTATAACTTATAGTGGCATGATAGTTAGTCAGTGGATACATCATGGGTAACCACAAACGCCTGTACATACAGAATTAGGTCATCTTGACCTACATTTTTCCGCATGAGTGACTTTGCATAAATTTATGGTGGAGGTCCATATCTCAGCAACTATAACTTATAGTGGCATGATAATTTGTCAGTGGATACATCATGGGTAACCACAAACGCCTGTACCAGAATTAGGTCATCTTGACCTACATTTTTCCGCATGAGTGACTTTGCATAAATTTATGGTGGAGGTCCATATCTCAGCAACTATAACTTATAGTGGCATGATAATTTGTCAGTCTACACATCATGGGTAACCAACAATATCAGTACCATAATTAGGTAATCTTCACCTACATTTTCTGCATGAATGACTTGATACATATACAGTGGATTTGATTTCAAAATGCAAGTTCAAATTATTGCGACTCATAACACGTTGCAATATTCGCAATAATAAAAACATCACAATAATTTGTGAATTTACAGGGTATATGTATATATATATAAATGCCAATATAATCGCCAAGGGATTAGATATTAAGTCAGCTGTTCCATTTCTTTATTATTGTATTTTTGAGTTATTCCTTCTGAAATGTCAATAAATGCTTCAGTTTATCAGACAATCATTTCTTACTAACCACAGCGACAGCAGGCGAGACACAGGGTTGCGGGCAACCCTTACGTACTTTTTAACATAATATTTATCGTTCAATACAAGTAAATACTTAGTATAGATAGTTTTCGATAGGCCTGAATTTAGCGAAAGTTACCTCCCGTTGGCCGCCATATTGGAGGTCGACTCAGTGATTTTCCCTCTTTGTCTTACTAAGTTTAAGAAAATATAGCAGAAGTATTTGGTGGAAAATCTTTATCAAATAATTTTTTTTAAATAAAGGAGGCTTCCAAAAATTTATATACTTCAGAAAAATAATGATTTCTAATTCAACATAGCAAATATAAAAATGTTAAATTGGTTGAACAATCTAGGAATATGAGCATTTGGACCTCCAGTATGGCGGCCAACGGGAAGTAACTCTTGGTCAATCGAAAACTATCTATATAGGTCCCTGATTATTTTTGCTTCTTTCCTTACATGTAAAACGCTGAAATTCAAGTAAGACGTCCAGGTTCACGTTGCCAAAACTTGCCAACAAAATATAATCTTCACCAGAAAAATGTTTTTGAAATCAAGTGAATTATTCGTTGTAAAAAACGTATACAAGATTAAGAAAATCAAACTCCATACAGCGTCAATTCTCCGGGACTACTTTCCCTACGAATAATGCCACTGCCACAGGCTTTCCAAACTTTTTCCAAAATCTGGAAAATTGGCTTGCGCGAGTAATTCGGTTTTCAAAAAATTCAAACTAAATGGTGTGTATAAGTTTATTGATTAAAATAAAGGAAAATAACAATCGTTCTATTTATTTTTTAGAGCGGCAAGTAACGGTTTATTATTTTCAATCCGATTAAATCCGGATTATTTTTTCAAGCGTAGTTTACACCAAGTTGCAATGGCGGCTTCCATGCGTCATTGGAAACGGAGAGAAGTTTCGTGTCTTATGCATGTTATGGCTGTAATTCAACACATTCTGAATGAATTTGATAGAAATACAAGACTGTTGATACAAGCGACATGGTATATTTCATGGTTGTGCGAATGGCATCAATAATGATGAGAATATTCGAGAAAACAATTCGAGACTGAGCTCAATGAAAGCTAAAAATTCTGTGATGGCAGGGCTGAGGAAACATTGATGTGATAAAAGGTACTGTAAAGTTTGAATACTGTATAAGACGAGACAATTTCTGTAAATGAGTAACACATGTACATCGTTATGATAACCATTAAGACCATGAGTATGGCACGCCAAATTCACAAAAATGAGATAAACCTAGTTTCACAATTGATAAACTATAATAGGTTTATCGACTGTAAACTATAGTTTACAAACCATATTAAACTATATTTAACGATTCGTTAAGTATAGTTTTCATCTGTAAAACGATATTTAACGGTCGTTAACTATAGTTTATGAATGTTAATCTAAGTTTATGTCTGAATAAAGCGTTAACAATAGATTTTGTTGATAAAAATAGATTCACGTTTGTAAACTATAGTTTACAATCATAAACTATAGTTAAGGGTTGTTAATCATAGATTCACAAATTGTGAAACTATATTTATCAGATCGTTGACCATAGTTAACGGTTTGTAAACTATAGTTTACAAATCGTGAAACTGTATTTATCAGATAATCTATGTTTTGCAATTGCAAATGATTGTTTTCGGTGTTAAGTATAGTTTACAGTTGTGAAACATAAATTATCGCGTTAACTATGGTGTGAAGATGTGAAATATAGATTAATGTTGTTAACTATAGTTTGCAGTCCGTAAACTATAGTTTACAAGTGATAAACCAAGTTTATCGGTTGTGAAACTATGATTATCTCATTTTTGTGAATTTGGCGTGCCATACATGAGCTCTCCCAATTTACAGGTCCAGAAAAATCACTATATTTAGCTATATAGCTAAATCTACCTATATATATACCGGTACATTGTACAAAATCTCAAAAAATAATGAGGGAGGTGATTAAGTGTTTTTATTTTATTGGTTTAGCAATAAAAAGGGTCAATGAGGCACCCTTGGAAGAGATGAGGGAGGGCATGAGAACCAAGAAATTAATTTTTTTTTTTGCCTAAGGACAGATCTGTTAGGAAGTGCATGATATTTATAAACAACAGTATGGCTAAATGTTAATTGTGTTATGTCATGATACACTTGAACTGTATCATGATTCATTTCAAAACATAGAAGCAAATTGAAAGGGGGGGGGGGCTAAACCAAGAAAAAAAGTTAAATCCCAATTTTCAATGCCTACATGTTTTAAATGTCTATTTTTGCAAAAAAAAAGGGGGACCCCCTCCAGTTCCAACGCCTATGCAAAATGTCACAATTCAAATTTTTAAAATAAATTTGTCTTTGTTCTGATATATGAAATTCTGAATCTCATTTTCTAAGATAAAAAAAAATCTAAAATGAGGTTTATTCTATCAGTTCACAAATAATGATGTAACAGTTCTGAATCTGTACATTACAATAAATACAACAAAAGTAAATAAAGTGAAAAGTCTTTAACTAGGTTAAAAGACTAAAAAGAAATGGCATACATTGCAATATTCCTACACTAACCACAGTTTTAATTTTTTTTTTAATAGAAAGTAAGCTTTAGTAAATCAGGAAAATGTTACATCATAATGTATTGTATTCAAATGACTTGTTATTCCCCCAATATTCTTAGATTTGGGAGTATATATTTTTTGCCCTGTTTGTCCATCTGTTGGTCTCTCTGTCTGTCTGCCTGTTTGTCCACAAAATATTAATCTATAAGTATAACGCAGCTCACATTTGGATGTGTGGGTCTATTGCTTTCATATTTCACAATTGTATTCCTTATGTAAAGACCTTTCTGCGGGTACAACCAAATTTAACCTTGACCTTTTGAATTTGACTTCCATTTGAAAAACTTCAATCTTTGCGATAAGCTGCCATGCAGGGCATCAATGTTTTGTAAATGTCTTGTCTTCTGATATCATTCATAATATAATGATGTAGTTTTGTAACCATGCAACTACATGTGCATGACATTGTGTTTATTATCTTATTTGTTGGAATGCCTTACATTTACATGTATCTGTTATTCATAAATTTAGATGCATAAATAATGTTTTTTATCTGTGTGTATAAGTAAATAGACAGTGTGAGAAGTATGCATTTATCACAATTAATTTGTTTTTTCAGACTGATTTTTGAAGGACCTTTCTACCTAAACAGAATTGTATGAATGTCAACATCACTGTTTCAATCACTCAACACCCTACCATCAAAGTGGATATGGTCTTCAAAGACAAAAACAGTGGATGTGATCTTCAGAGACAGAGACAAAAATGAGCCCCCAATAGAAGTCACTCTTGTTTAACTGGGATAATTTTTTTCACATGTATCATTGTTTTACACATACATATTTTTAAGTAGAAGTAAATGTTATTCAACATATTTTTTTCTTTTAATTTGAATACATGTAGAGGCAACTGATAAAATGATCACATCAGAGTTTCATTGTGTTGTTATATTTATGTATGATATTATCAATCATAACAAGTTTGATACTGGAAATCCTGGAAAAACACCCTAAATGTGTATTTATTTTGCAATGCTGTTCATAAGTATCATACAAGTCCATCATACTTTTGCTTCCATACAGAGATTATGTATTTTACTTTGAAATGTCATGAAGATTCAACTTGAGATAAATTTCTGCTCTTTACTGAATCAAATTGAATGTGGAAAAAATACAAAGATACAGAAAAAACCCTCACCTTCTTTTAGTTGTGGACAATGTTGACATGAGCAAATTTGTATGGCCCCCTTTTATATTGAGTTAAATTCATTGTATCGTATTACTTTTAATTACAATAAGCCTTAATTATTTTTTTCAAAATTACTTGAAACACTGAGGTTTTTAGAACAATAATCAGTCATCAAGCAATTTTAAAAGTATGTGTGTAAAGGGGGAGGGCAAAGCAAGTAAAAATAAAAAAAGTACCAAAAACTTTGACAAGCATAAGTCTGATTGGAGACAAACATTGTACATGTATTTTCATCAGAAAAAATGAATACAATAACATGGAGTGATTCTGCTACTGCAACAGAAAGTGGATGAGGATGGTGACTGTATTTTAAAACTAAGTAGTAAAGAATTCTGAATATCCTCACCCCCTCCAATGTAATTAAGGTGCATGATAAGTCAATGAAATAAATGAAATATCATTTTATCCAATCAGAGAAAGATTTTCTAAAAACGATAGAGGCACTAAAATAAATGTTCGCAAAGGCGGATCCAATACCGGCGCACCCCCCCCCCCCCCCCACTGTTTGCCGTTTGAATTTTTTCTACATAAAATTTATATTTCCATTATCCTAAAATCAAGGAAAAGCATCTTTTATTTATAAAGACTTGTCAGTCCCTCTAAAGGACCATGTATTAGACCCACATGGGGCTTCAGTACAGCCACCAGACCTCCTCTGCCTTATACTGCACCCCCCCCCCCTTTACGAAATTTTTGGATCCGCCACTGGTCCGTACGTTGCATATTTTATTTTCTGTCAACGCAATGCATGCTACATGGAAATAGCGTTTACTGCTCACTGGGACCGACTTTTTGAGAAGTTTAGATAAATCAAGATTTATATAAAATGACGACCGATATGCAGGAACAGAATTTTAATCAATTACTGAGTACTCGTAGAGGAAGGGAGAGTTTGGGGGGGGGGGGGGATCCGAACATAACCACCATTTACTTTTGAAATTGTTCACTGAAAGGACACCCCTTGTATCTTGAAATATACATGTATTCATACATTCAAATTGGCATGGTTATATTAACGAAATTTGTTTGTGTGAAATGTTTGAACCAACAAAAATGGTATTATGTTTGTAGTCATTTTTTAGCTACTCTCTCTCTCTCTCTCTCTCTCTCTCTCTCTCTCTTTATGGGGGGTGTATTGTAAAAAAAATCTGGCTGCCCGCTCATATTTTATAGCGATATTACGTTCCTGTTTATAATATCGATGCTGAAAATGCAAATTGAATTCTGATACATGTATTTAATATTTGTTTACTTCCTCAATTATTTCGTTGATAATTCTAAAATCGGGCGCATGAAAAACAATCGTCTTTATTAATGTTATTAGATTTTTTTAAAAAGTGGAGAAAAGCTAGGAAAGAAAGATAAAACGATAAAAAAATATTCTTAAGCAGTTTAATCATCGTGTATAATAATTCTTTACAAATTTCTATGTTCTATATTATAATCGGCGTCAATGCAATGTGTAATTTTGAATTTTATTTACCGATTCAATAAATCAGTAAATAAACAGGCTGTTTGCATAAAGCTTGTATGTTAACTTTTTTTGTCTGAACTAAAATACTAAATGCATTTGATTGAATTTTGTACTTAGCACATATATAACTCAAGTATTTTTTTTTAGACATATTAATCATCTCGCGTGCAAATGGTGTATAAACCATGATAATTATTAAACATGATAAATTAAATATTTAATTTAAAAAAATTGATATTAAAACAGGGGATCGCTACTGCTTGTGTGTATTTTCATGTATAAACAGAATT